TTAGGTTTCTTCAGGCTGCGGGTGGTTGAGATGTAAGGTGGTTTTGTCTTCCAGCAGGTCAGTGGCTATAATTGTCAGGTCAGTGCTTTGATCTTGACAACACTAACGATTTTAAGTTGGCTTGTTGCTTAGTAAACTCTTGATGCTAATTTTTTGCCTGTAATTATCCAGGACTTGGTCCAGTTTGTTAATAGGACTGAGAAGCTAATGGACCAGATTTTTGGATGTGTGGGACAAAAAAACTAATATTCCTGGTGCACCAGGATTCCCATGAAAATCTTACTATACAAGTAAGATTAAATGTGTAAATGTTGGAAATATGAAATTACAAATTTTCAATTTGTTCGGCAAAATTTCTGTACTTATATAACTTTTTTTCTGCTTCAGTCCTTTATGGACATATCTCTCTTTCTACTAATTAGGTGATAATTGACATCTTTTGATGGATATTAGTGAATGCAGTAGGCACGCAATGGTTAGCTGTTAAAGACATGGGAACACTTAATACTAATAGTTAAGGAGAGAACCTTTATTATGTGACATGGGAATAACTTTTTTTTTAACTGCGAATGTAAGTTAAGCAAGTGGATACAACACCAAAACGCAAATTGTGGCATCTCAAAAGGTTTACTTTGCATATCAATAGATGAGTGCTAAAAGCTGGCAGACGCATCTTTCCCTTTTAAAATAAGTATACACATTGGTTTCTATTGAGTCCAAACACTAACTCCAAGAATGTTCGAACCCCAAAGACTATCAATACCAATACATGTAACAAGATACGCATTTTAATATATCCACAACTTAACACACCACTTCATGATGGATTTGCCATCAGAGATATAGACAACTTTTAGACATCTAAAGAGGAGAGTGATTCTCTCATGGGATGTCAGAAACTGCAGTATCATCTTTGTGTGAGTTTTCTTGGTCAAGGAGGTGAGTCGTTAGGTCGTGGTTAGTCTCTTGGCTTCTTGCTTTCTTCTCTTCACTTTTACCCCATAATACAGAGTAGAGACCAACCATGATGAGGATAGACCCAATGACCCTGAAAATGAAAGTGAAATAAGGAAACTAATCAACAAAGAGGACTTGAAGATATAAAGGATGACGACAACAATAACAAAGTCTTTATCCCAAATTCTTAGGGTCATCTGCATGAATCCTAATCTTCAATTCAGTCCAGTTGAGGGCCATCTCCTCCACTAAGTTAATTATTGTCATATTCTTCTTCACTGCTTCCCATCAAGTTCTCTTGAGCCCTAAGTTATAATCTTATCACTTCTCCTAAATGGTGTATGACTAGAAATAAAAGCAAAGAAATTTTTCTGATGCATTAATTATATGTTGTGCAGTAGATATCAGATTTCCTTGGCGTAAATTCTTAACCTATCTTTGTCTAACTTTTTAATATTCTTGAATATTTTCCTTGTTTTATATTCTTACCCTCCTGAGTACAACTGGTCACCAAGTATAATGGATGCCATGATGGCCACTGCAACTGTCTGAACTGGTTGGAAGACGGCAACAAAAAGGGGACCTCCTCTGTCAATGCACCAAATTTGAAGGGAGAAGGAGATGCCTGATGCCACAAGGCCCTGCATATAGAAATCATGAGCATGTCGAAATAACACCATAAAAATTAAAGGTAAAAACACCAAATCTTTTGCCAGAATCACAAATAATTATATTCAGGTTTATGCGAGGCTATACGGATAACTTTCATGCCCACTGCTTTGGCATCCGTGTTAACTTTGTAGAAACTAAAAAAGGTTAATTGCAGATAGATCCCCTATATTGTCATCAAACTGAACTTACTACCCCTAGAAGAGTTCTATTGTTGCAGATAGACCCCCTGAGCGAAAATGTTATTGCATATAGACCCCTTGAGAAGGGTCAAAATAATTTCAATCAGGGGGGCTATCTGCAACAATAGAACTACAGCAGTAGTGAGTTCAGTTTTGGCAACAGTACATGGGGTCTATCCGCGATTAACCCAATAGAAAGGGATCAAACTGTGACTTCTGAAACCTTAAGAGGATTTTTTTTTCTTTTGCAAATTAATATTAACAAAAAAGGAATTTTGATGATAATGATGGGTTTGTGGAGTTACAGCATAAAGGATGGTGCAGAGCTCTCCTCCAGAATGGACTTTCCATTTGTCAATGTCAGTTTCAGTGAAGGCTGCTATGACCAAGAACTGGATCAGCCCAAAGAAGCAGGTGAATGTGGTGACTGATAGCCTTGCTGGATACTGCTTTAGCACTGGGACCTGCTCACACGATTCATTGATTTAGGACCATAAACCAACTTCCATATGAAAGGGAATTTTTTTTATAGATGACTACATAAGCGCGGGAAAAAAAGGATTATCATATTTCACATTTTGACCATTTGTTATCTATCTTGCCTCTCATTGCCCCTAATACGACTTGCTTATGCTTAAGTTTTTGCAGTGATAGTACAAATATGATTACAACAAAAAGATTTTAGATGTATGAATCTTTTTTCTTCATTCTTTTCTACGAAGAGACATCTCTTAATATACCAATAACGAGTACATCCTCTTTTTACTGCTTTACCATATATCCTCTGTTGTTGCACAATTTTTTTTAAATACTTGTGTAGTATATCAAATTGCCAAGCATGTATAGCAATAGCAAGGTTTTTATCTCAATCTTGGACGTGGGGTATGTGCATCATTTTTCTCTGTTCAGCTCTGTTCACAAAATTTGTTCTATTATATCAATGTCGAACATAGCTTTTTAACTGTTTTAATGGAGGAGATAGTCCTTAATAGAACTGAATGGAAGAATATGACTTACGCCGTGGTTCTCAAAAAAATTGGGATAAAGGGCTTTGTTGTTGTTTTTAATCAATGCTCTTCATCATGTTTGCTCCTAATTAATGCATTATATAAAAATCACCTGAAGAACCATCCAACCAGACCAAGCTAAGCAATTTCCAAGGATGTATATACAACCAAGGGTCCAATTAAGGATTTGGCTTGAAGAAGTGATTGCTCCCAATGTTAAGTGTGGTTCATGGCTCAAGAGAGGAGGACCCTTGTATAGAGTGATAACTGTGGCTCCTGCAATACTTCCCACAGTACCCACCACCTTTGCCAACCCAAACCTCTTCTTTATATTCACCTGCTCAAGCCTGAGATACTCATACAATTGTGATTAATCATGATTATTAAAGATAGATATCAAAATATTTGCATTATTATTATTTTTTAGGTAAACCTTAGGGCTGCTGCCATGGCAAAAGTGATGGCTGGTACTGAGTTTTGTATAGCAGATGCATATGTTGGAGAGAGGTAATACAAACCCAACAGATAGAATCCTTGATTAGCTGTTATCCTGAGCTTAAAAAAACAAAATTGGGGTTAAGTTTGCAAAATAGGGATTAAATTGCCATATTATATTGCTTAGTTGTTACTTACCCACATAATGCAAGAAGAAAGAATTGAACCAGCAAAGAAAAGGTAAGAGGTGGCCTATCCTTCCTGAAATTAATCAACCAAAAATAAATATGGAGACAGAGATTTTCAGCTATATACTTTGGATATAATTTCAAAAAAAGCTTACTTTTCTATAAAATAAGCAAAGGGGGCCAATAATGCAAGAGCAATGACATTTCTATACACAGGGAACACAATTTTGCTAACACCCATATTAAGTGCAGCTCTTGAGACTATGTGGAACCCTGCATAGCAACATTGTAGAGCTAGAACAGCTATGAAGAGCTTTGCCTTCTCTGAGACTTTTGAATCGCTCCTCATTTTCTCTCTCTTGGATAAGAATCCTTACAATCAGAGATGGGTTTTTTGTGCTTTGTTGAGGTGAGAAGACTGGAGGGGTTTATATACTTGTTGTCCTTTAATGCATGACTCTGGCCATGTCTTTATATGTCTCTCTTAGTAGGTCCATGAGGCAAACATACAAATCTCTCTCTATGCATGTATAAGGAGCATTATGGGTGGTTCAATTATTCATTTGGTAAAGTTTACAAAACCCCTAAACTTTGCATGTCTTGCATAGAACTCTCATAAACTTTATAAATTAAAAAAAAATCTCTCTGAACTTTTTGAATTATACAACCCTCGTGAACTATTGGAAATCGTCATAAACTCTGAACAGAAAAACTCTCTGTAAAATGAAAAAATTATATGAGAGTAAAATTTTCAAGAACATGTTAACTACGTATTACGTTGACAACTTAAACTAACTCCCGATAGTCGTGACAATTTTATTAACACAAGTCTAGGGAGTTCTATCTTAGGGTTTTTTTTGTGAAATTTACCATTGTTTGTATACTGATACTTATTGTGCATTATTTAGTTTATGACTTTGAAGTTTATATATGATATTGATATTGTCATTTTTTTTTATTTAAAAGGGTAAGTTGACGTGGGGGGGGGTTTGGATTTGGGTTGTGGAGGAGACAAAGGAGGAGTTGGACCATGTTGGCCAGGCAAGCTGATTAGATACTACAATCAGTGGACGTTATAATCTGGTCATTCCTCTTCCTCCCTACTTATTTCTCTCCTCCCACCAACTTTCCTTCTTTCTTAATTCTTCTTAAATTAATTATTTTTGAATAAGTTGATTAAATCTTGTAATACCATTGTTAGTGCAAAACATGATGGACATAAAATGGGTACTAGTACTACTATATTTGTATTCTTCTCTAGCAAATAACGGTAAGAGCGCAAATATTGTGCGGATATTAATCTTTTTATCCATATTTTATTAAAAAAAATGCTAGGATATTATCAACTACTGTGTATTGTAGCTAATACTTTAAAGTATGAATTTAACTTTTTATTTTCATGCATAATATAGTAAAGAGGCTGATTTGCAACGTAAAATCGCGTTTCAGAGATGCTCTGAAATCAAAACAATACCATCACCAGCATTTATATGTTAATTACAGTACAAAAATTAACCCATTTAAAAATGAAACATTCAAATTATTAAAGTATTTTTAAACTTGGATTAGGTTAGGAGTCGGAAACTAATGATAGAGTCAGAGGTTCGAAAGAGCAGGAAGTTGGGAACAAGGAATCAAAAGTGTCATGTGGTCATTCAAAGGTGGCAATCAAAAAACTGCCATCACATGGATGATGAGACTCACAAACTAATTTTTATGCCTATAAAGACCTCTAGAGATTTGGTGAGACTCCTCAAGAAGATGCACTTAGAACTCTTAGCACATGCTTCATTAGGTATCAGCCTCTTTTGGGCTATACATTCTCTCGTCATTCGATAAAAAATATACAAACCAAACAGCAATATGCAGAAGTCAATAAAAGAACAGAACCCTTTTGAAGATTACTGTAAAGATCCTGCGATTAATTGCGATTTCAGTTATCAAGTACAGGATTTTGTACAGTTTATCAAATATTGACCCTTGCAAATGTACAATATCTTTCAGAATTTGCAGACAGTACCAGATCCATGTGACCTTTTGAATCCTCAGCTAATTACAGCAGTACAAAGCACTAATTGATCGAATCTAGAGCTTTAAGTCTGCAGGTCTGATCCTTGCACCAGATTTAAGCTACATCACAGATTTAGCCCGTTTGCTTCATGTGGTTAGTAGGAAGCAGAAAAAGTGCAAGTTGATCGCATCCAGCATCACGCATTTTCTGACGCTGTAAAGTTTCTTTGTAGTTCCAAATATCGTGCTAATAATCATGAGAACATCTCTGCAACTTGAAATGTGGACTCGTAATCCTCTGAGCTGGAAGCTTTCACTGATAGAAAAAACAGTTGAAATGTGAAAATCTGCAAGTGGAGGTTAAGCTGAAGAATTAAACAACATGAACATACAGAATATTGAAGGTTGGTTAACTAGAGATCTTTGAACCGCTGAATTTGGAGGTTACCAACCATCCACAATGATCTGTCCGTTAGCCATTAAAAAAAAAGGAATAAGTTAGGCCAAATCAGGGGTGAAAAAAAGAAGGAAAAAAGAAAAGAGATGCTAAGAACAAAACATGAACATATTTTATCAGAACATTAGTAGGATAATCTGCATGTTATATGCCAATCATAATACATAAGCATGGAATGATTCCAGAGTCTACCAAGTGATGACAAACCCATACAAACTGATTTGAAATCTAGGCTTCCTCATTTATTACAAAAGAAAAAAAAGAGGGGTTGATGTAAAATAATGTGACAATTCAATAACTGCTTTTTCAGAATCATTTACATTCAATGTATGGAACCATGTATGTCCTAAGTGAAGGAATCAACGAATCAACATAGGTAAGGCTTCAAGATCTCCTACCTGTTTGATGAGTTGGAATAAAGAAAACAGACATAAATGCCACAAGTTTTATCCTTGAGATATTGTGAGCAGAATGCAAGCAGAGTTCTGATCCAAGTTACAGATTTTACTGAAAGGAAAATCTTGATGACTCTTCATATTGGCTGTTGAGTCTGCGAAGGTATACAAGCATGGTCATCTAGCCAAAAAAACGTAAAATTCAGAAGTCACTATTCTGTAGATAGACATAAAACTGAAGCAAGCTAGAAATACTGTAGGTAATTAACAGAATATCCTTGTCAATGTACATGAAGGCCTAATGCCTAATGATATTATTAAACAAGAACAACTTTAAATTATCAGGTACTAGGAAATGTTAAATACTATTAAAAAGATTTCCTGTTGACAAATGGGCTGCACCAAGTCGTATCCATCAGTTAAACGAAGTAAAAATATGCACACCAAGCTAAATTGCATGGGTACGGGTACGGGTAGTGATACGTGTACAAGACATGGCAAATTTGTGAAAGGGTATGGGGGCACTGCTATATATTTGTATGTTAGATATTTATATGTATTAAAATTAAAAATTTGCGTAAGATCAATATTTTTTTCATTTACATAAGATCAATGTATAAGAAATAGATGTGGAGTGTAGGATATATATGTCCAAGAAGTGTATGAGGAGTATTTTATATAGAGCATACGTCTGATTAAACATATGCATGTATTCAAAAAGTGTCCAAAAAGTTCCGGTATGAGTACCTGTCAGGTACAGGTACGGCTGCCCGACAGTACGTAGTAACCATAGAAACCAAGCAATTTAAGTAAAATTTTGTAAGGGCAGAAACCTCGGCAGTTATCTGCCTGGGTAAGAAATTTACCAATTGCAAGAGAACGCATTGATGCATCTATGTATATATAGGCAACATGAACTGAGTCTATAGGTCACAGAATGTATAGGACCTATGAAAAGTCAAAAAAAAAAAAAAGCAATATGAAATCATACTACACCTGCGCTGCAAAAGACAATCTGATCAGTGCAGGGTATTTCCTCGTACATACATTTTAGATACTATACACTAAAAAAATACATTGAATACATCTTCTAACATATCCTAAATGCACTCTACTGCAAGAGACATGCTGATGAGTTCAGGGTATACTTCCTCGTATATACATTTTAGATACTATACACTCACAAAAGAAAAAAAATCTTATACTTCTCCTGAAATATACTAAAATTTGCACTCTAAGTTAAATACTAGACAGGCATGAAATGCTATTCCATCCTTTTAGTTTTAATGTCGTCACTACAATCCCCATTTTGATAATCTAAAATGGTGTTTCAATTATGAGGCTTGCCATTCAGTAGGTTTTCATAATCATTCTATCCCTTATCGCAATTTTTTCTTCACTGATCAATTGATACATGAGACAATGTTTTTCTTAATTTTTTCAAGAAGTATTTGACTAGCCGTCTACTTGATTTGAGGTTAAAGCAGGGCAACCGAAAATGTGCTCTTAGTATTCATATACATTGAACTACGAAGTTTAAGATTGGTTGTCAAGTGCCAACTGCTAAATGCAACCCCTTTCTTTTACTTTGCTAGGGAAAGTAGCAAAGTAACAAGAATTAAGCTAACGGTAGCACTGGTTATAGTGAATTAAATGTGTTGTTAAGCAAAAACATGTACAGTGCCTCAACTTTTGTTAAATCTTCTTTACATAAAGAAAACAGGATATGGTTTGCCAATGTGAGAAAATTCCTATATTTGCATTTTAAAAACACTTGTTAAGATCATCCAATTTGATGATCCAGACTTCATCACTAACTTGTGAGAATCAGAATTATCAGTCTTAACATGTTCACAGACACTTGTCCAAGGTTCATATGATACACAAAATTTAAAACCTGAAAATTTGTACCACATATTTTTTTAAATCATGCACACATGCTACAGTCACAGGAAACTTTTTTGCTACCTTAGCAGAATATTGGTAAGCAAATAAGTACATTGCTATGGCATTATTATAGAAACTTATTAGGCCAAGGTAATGTGAAGAGTGTAGAGAATGGGAACTTTGTTTTGTTATTTTATATTATTATTATTATATATTATAATTACTATATATATATATAATAAATATATATTATATTAGAGAAGAGAGAGGAGAGAGAGAGAGAGAATTGGAAAACTTGGTAGTGATCTGGTCTAATCTGTCCTACATCTATATTAAGTTGGGTGAAGATGTTGAGGCTCTATTTTCGAGGTGAAATAGGGGGCAAGATTAGGTCACATCACTACCAATGCTTTACAACTTGTACCGCAATTGTTCTCATTTCTCTCATAATATTATATATATATATATATATTATATATATATATATATATATATATAATATATATATATAATATATATATATATATATATATATAATATATGAGAAAACTGTTGTATGAGAGAGAGAGAGAGAAATGGAGAAACTTGGTAGTGATGTGGTCTAATCTTGTCCCTACATCTATATTAGAGTTGGTGAAGATGATTGAGGCTCTATTTTCGAGGTGTGAATAGGGG